TAACAGCTTATGTTCACAGCTATAAGTCATAATCTGTTAAGTTATAATCTATAGTCACTTTTCCATAACTCTACCAAACGGGGCTATTGGGGTGTTCAGTATGAATTATTTTGGCTAATTTATAGATTTTAATTTTGGAAAATTTATTTTAAATTGTTTGGTTAAATTATTTTAAACAATTTCTGATTATAACAACCTATTTTAACTCAAAAATGTTGATTATGAGAAGTTACTCACCTCCTGCTTCTGATTATCAGTTTCTGCCGTACATATATTAATTTAAGACTATACTCATAGTTTTTTTTGATAAATGAATATATATATATATACATATATATAGAAAAAGATCCAAATGGACTATAGATTATATATATATATATGGAAAATGTGCACTACTAGCGAATAACAAAAAAAAAAAAATTAATCACTGTGTTTGGTTGTGATTTTTTGAACACGTTTTTTTGAAAATTTTATACAGCCTATTTGGTTATTCTGAAAAATGTTTGGTTTGAGTTTTTTGAATTAAGTTTTTTGAAAACTCAGTTTTTTGGTTTTCGTGTTTTTTTGTTTTTAGTAAATATTTTTAAAATTTTAAACATTTTTTTTACTTTTTTATATACACCTTACTTAGATGTATCTAAAAAGTAAAAAATTTGTGAAAAAATATTTTAAAAATTTAATAAATACATAAAAACACAAAAAAATATACTGAATTCTCGTTTTTTTTTTGTATTTTTGATATTTAGTGAATTTTTAAAAGGTTTTTTTCACAATTTTTTTACTTTTTAGGTATATTTATATTATGTATGTCTAAAAAGTAAACAAAATTGCTTAAAATATTAAAAAAATTTAGTAAAAAATAAAAAAATACGAAAAATAAGAAAGTAAAATTTTCTGAAAAGTGTTTTTGAAAAAACACAACCAATCAAGCTATCCATTTCCAAAATTTTTTTTCCAGATTTGATTCTAAGAGCCTAGGCATTAGTACACGGTACTTGTGTGCTCCTCACGTGATGTGAAGAGCCTTTGCTTGTTTCTTTTTTTTCCTAATTTGTTTCTCTCCCTCTATCAGCCACGGGTTAACCATGGTACGTATAGGTACAATTTTTTTTTTAAAATTATTCACACAGACAACCCAATTTTTTTTTTATCAATTTGACTATTTATTTAAATTTGAACATAATTCAACGATTTTGAAAATAAATTTAAACATAAGTATATAATTTTGTAAATAAATTTGTAAACAAATTTATGATTTTCTAAATAAATTTAAACATCGATTCACATATTTTTTTTAATGCCAATTTTAAACAATTGAGTGTTTTATTCATTTATGGTTTTCTTAATTTTGTACATAAATTTACGTTTATTGGAAACTTGTATAAATTAACGTTTTTTCGAAATTTGTATAAATTTACGTTTTTCGCAAATTTGTATTTTAATTTTGGTTATTCCGAAAATGTGTACATAAATTTGTCAAAATTATGACTTTTTTAATGCAAATTTCTGAATGATTTTTGTGCATAACATTCATGAAAATTTGATTATACGATAGAAATTTTTTAGTGCCAATTTAAAAAAAAAAAAAAATACGTTTTCTGTGGCTGAAATGAGTGAAAATTTTATAATAAAGTTGCACAGTTAATGGTAAGATATGTACCCATAAATGGGTACATGCCACATTATGTTTTCATCAAACCAACCATGTACATATATATATATACTAGCCCATCACCCGTGCTATGCACGGGATAATTATAGATATTTATATTTGTTTTAGATTTTTTTTAATATATAAATTATGTTTTTTAAGATTTATTATAAAAATAATTTAACAATCTTATCACTAACCATAGTTTATAGGAAAAGTTGAAAAGGGTACTGCAGTTACTATACACAGATTGTATCTATAATTATTTGAATGAGGAGATTTTAAATGCTGATCAAGGAATTTTGACCAAATCAATAAATACAGGCATGTGGGAAGACATGTGGATTGAAAAAAGTTAATAAATGCTGATTAGGAGATTTTGATCAAATCAATAAATGCTGAATTTTTTTTTTGAATAAAAAATTTAAAAAATTTAAATTGGGATATTGAAACTCTCACAGGCCTTGGGGGTTAAAAACCTCCTTTTGCTTAATATATAGTATAGATAGATAATATAATATATATATATATATATATAAATATAGATTATAAAATGAGTTTTAAAGATGAAATATTTTAATTGTCAAAAGTATCATTATTATATTTTTAACGATAAAATTGAATATTTAATTTTCATTATTGTATCATTATGATTTTAGTGATGAATTATTCTCATTTTGAGATCAAAATTTTTTTCTCAAAAAGTAAGGTAGCGTTTGGTTTAATTTTCAAAACTCAATTCTGTTTCTGATGCTAGTCATGTACCTATTTCTATTGGCAAACATTATAACTGATACATGATAGCAGGTCCTTTTTTGATCCAGCAGATATTGCAAGGAGAGGGGTGTGGTTCAGGAGACAACTTTAGGTGCGCTACCAATCGTCTAGCCACAATCACACACCTTTTGATTTATGGTACAAGAAGAGCGAAAAATACTGTGACGTTGACTGAGGTCCTCAGTTTTTGAACCCTTTAAAAATAGAACCCTTTGAATTACACAATTGACTCGTTCTCCCTCTTCTCTGGCGAATTCGGCACCATCATACTGATCACCCTCATATTCTGCGTCTTCATCATCCCCAATTTCATCTTCTTCTTCAACTAAATTAATAGTCCTTTCTGGGCACACATTAGAGCGATGGCCAAGCTTGCCACTTATCCGTTGTTGGTTTAGCATAAGGATTTGTGTTTCGAGGTGCCTCCCTGCTACTTGATCCGGTCATCTGGTTTCCTCCAGCAATCGAGCTACATGAGAGGCGTCAGAAGTCTTTCGACAAGGAAGAAAATGCGCGATCTTTGAAAACCTGTCAACCACTATGAACACAGAATCAACTCCACATTGGGTACGAGGGAGTCCCAACACAAAGTCCATCGACAAGTCTTCCCAAATGCTGTTAGGAACAGGTAGAGGCATATAGAGACCAGTATTCTGAGATTGCCCTTTGGATACTTGACAAATGTAGCACTTCCTCACAAAATTGCCAACATCTCGCTTCAACTGAGGCCAGAAATATCGTTCTTCCATACTTGCGATAGTCTTGTCCCTGCCCAAATGTCCACTTAAGCCACTACCATAGAGATCCCGAATTAGTTTCTCTCGCAAAGAGGTACGGGGAATGCATAAACGATTTCTTCGAAATAGATAGGCATCAGTGATGTGGAAATCAGTGACTGGTTGCCTTTGAATACACTTTGCCCATATCTCCTTGAAGCCATCATCATCAGGATAAAGTTCTTTTAGGAACTCAAACTCCACAATCTCATGTGTCAACGTGACTAATAAACTAGCCCGTCGACTCAAGGCATCCGCAACTCGATTCAAAACCCCTGATTTGTGGCGAATAGTAAAAGGAAATTTCTGAAGGAAAGTAGACCATCTCACATGCATGTTATCCAGGTGCTTCTGGCCAGGAGTAGTTGTGTGAACTTGGACCAAATTGAATGGATTGTATTGACTTTTGTGTACATCCTTTGCTTTCAAGGAAGAGCCCACGTTCTTTTCACAAGAACAGTAAACTAGACCACAGTTACCAATTTGGATGATCCTTGATTTGTTGAGATTTTTGATTGAAGATCAACCTAATTTAAGTTCTTCAACATTACACTACTATTCATTAATTTTAAAATTATTTTGATATTGAAGATGAAAAGGCCCCTTATTTCAAGATTAGTGGATAATTGTCTTGCAGCCATAGCACTCGAAATGAAGAGGAACCAAATGAAGAGGGAGCAACAATAAGTGGTAAGAACTAAAGCCCTGTTGTTCACCATCTTACTAGAGAGAGAGAGGGATGGTTATACTATCCTTGCATATGTACATAGTAACATATATATAATAGCGAGAAGCACAATAAGTCATCATCAATGTTATTATTTAGTATTTTTATTTCTACAAAAACGTATTAACATTAGCTTTCACATGATACTTGTATATTGATTTTGATTTTGATTATATTGACAAAAGAGGGATTATTGATTTTGATTATATGAATTTTCTGATGAAATAAATGCTAGGGTACATGCTGCTCTGTTTGGTGCAGTTTATGGGGTTAATTACAAATTGAAAAAAATATATATATTGAGAAAGAAAGGGATACTTTATTTTAGTCTATGTTTTCATCCCTTTGTTTTTTTTCTTTGAAGCCACAGATATCATCAATTGAAGAGTTGGTTGCACTTTTTATATATTGATTACAGATTTTTACCAATTTTTTTCTTTGTTTTTTTTTTTCCTGTGAGTATTGTTTTTCTTTAATTTTCGGTGCACTTTTATGGGTTTTTGTTTACACACATATATGAAGATTTTTACCTATACAGATAATATACACACACAGATATGAAGAGTTGGTTGGGTTTTTGAGTATTGTTTATTTTTATTTTTCTTACTTTGATTTAGTAGGAATTTGTGGGTTTTCTAAGTTTAGGCTTAAGCTACAATGATGTTGGTATAGAATTGTTGGTTTTCTAAATTCTATACCTTTCAGATTCTATACGGCATAGAATTGTTAGCAAAATTCTAGAATTGTTGGTTTTCAAATTATATATTATTCTTTTTTTTTTTTGGACAAATAAGCAAACTTTATTAATATGATGTGCATCCTTTTAAGAGTGGACATTATTAATTTCCCCTAATATATGAGAAATCAATATTTAGCCAAGAGAATGCATTAAAAAAATATATATATTCAAAGAACAAGATTGAAACCTTAAACAAATAAATTATGGGTTTGTTGGGTTTGTTGGATGCTCTATTCTGCAAAGTAAAGGTAATACTCTCATCTATTTCTTAATAGATTATTGTGTGTATATATATTGATTACAATTTTTTTTTGTTTTTTTTCTTTGAAGCCATAGAGACCATCAATTGATCATTAGTGGAATAGAGAAAGAACGATTCCCAAAATCAAACTGTGAGTATTGTTTTTCTTTAGTTTTCTAGATGCATGTAGGATTTTGGGTATACTTTTATGGGTTTTGTTGATTTTTCCTATTCATATATTTATCTATGTATATATACACACAAATATATGAAGAGTTGGTTGGGTTCCACGAAACCTATTTACTTTGATTTAGTAGGAATTTGTGGGACTATTATATTGAGTTACTCTATTGAATGGTTGTTGTGCCATTACTATCGTTTGGTTGTTACTAAAATGTTCGATAACCATTCTATCTTCCTTACTTATTAAGTGTTTGATAAAATGTTTCAATGGAATTTACACACACACAAATTAACTTTAATACACATCACAAACATTGGTAATTTTCATCCTAAAAATTCATAACTATCTTATGATGTGCATCCTTTTTTTTTTTTTTTTGACAAATAAACCAACTTTATTAATATGATGTGCATCCTTTTAAGAGTGGATATTATTAATTTCCCCTAATATATGAGAAATCAATATTAGCTAAGAGAATGCATTAAAAATATATATATATTCAAAGAACAAGATTGAAACCTTAAACAAATAAATTATGGGTTTGTTGGGTGCTCTGTTCTGCAAAGTAAAGGTAATACTCCCATCTCTTTCTTAATAGATTATTGTGTGTATATATATTGATTACAATTTTTTTTTTCTTTCTTTGAAGCCATAGAGACCATCAATTGATCATTAATGGAATAGAGAAAGAACGATTCCCAAAATCAAACTGTGAGTATTGTTTTTCTTTAATTTTCTAGAGGCATGTAGGATTTTGGGTGTACTTTTATGGGTTTTGTTGATTTTATAACCAAACATTGGTAATTTTCATCATAAAAATTCATAACTATCTTATGATGTGCATCCTTTATTTTTTTTGGCAAATAAACAAACTTTATTAATATTATGTGCATCCTTTTAAGAGTGGACATTATTAATTTCCCCTAATATATGAGAAATTAATATTTAGCCAAGATAATACATTAAAAAAAAAATTCAAAGAACAAGATTGAAATCTTAAACAAATAAATTATGGGCCAAAATTAAAAAAATAAATTATACAAAAACTAATCAAACCTGAACTTAGGCTTTTTGTACAAGAAAATCAATTGTCAAAATTGACTTGACCTACTTTGGTCAATTTGATAGAGATAAAGTCATTCTCATTCATTTTTTATTTTTGCAATCTCATTGATCAGAAGTACCATATGTCTATACTTTTATGGCATTCGAAGAATATTCAATAATTTTTCAAGTATGATTTAATTATTTAATGTTACAAGTCTATTGGACGAATTAATTTTTTTGTACAAATTTCTTTTCCTTTTCCTTATTGTGATTTAAAATTTCTTTTCCAATTGTCAGTATTGAATTTATCTGTGAATAAAATCAGTAATAAACTTATCTTTTTCCTACAAATTTGGGTACTCTGTTTTTTGTCATCCCATCATCTCCACCATCACCAACAAAGCTCTCACTCTGTCAAACCAAATGGGGGTTAAAAGGAAGAAATTGGTTTCATGTTAATACCTATTTTTATTTCATGTTAGTCAAATGGGTTGAGGATTGTTAACATTAAATGGGTTAATGTGAACATTAAAGTTAACCTGACTGTTAACATTAAGCCAAAAATAATATAGATGGTCATATTTTTTACTCATAGTTTCTAATTAGACAAAATATTTTTGGTATTTATTGAATACTTTTGTATTTACTTAAGCTTTATCTAGAACATTATTTAGTGGTGATTTGCAGAATGATGATGAGTTGTGGTGCACAACGGATGTGAGCAGTGGTTTTGTTTTGGGATAATGTTCTTATACTTTTTTTTTTATTATTATTATTTTGAGAAGTGCTCTTCTTGATTTTGAATTTGGCGCTCATTCATTTCTAAAAGATATATTTTGTTTATGGTGATTCTTTTGGATATATTTATTTATTTTTTGTTACTTTTTTCAATTATTTTTGGTATTGGTATATATCTAAGAATGTTTCAGTTGCAGTACGAGTGCTTCAAAGTTAAAATCATTTCCAATTTACTTGCTTTATTTACATTTATGGTAATTTGTGTATGAAGCATTGTGTTTGTGGTCCTATATATCTGAATCATTTCTTTAAATTTGCTTAATAGGTTCATATTAGAGAGCTTGAGGAAGAAGTGAAACTTCTTAACAACCATTCGCTTCTGAACATTGTGGTAAGTATCTGATTTGCATTCTTATTAAAGCATTTTAATGTTTCCTTTTGTTGGTCATCCTTTAGAAAACAATTCAAATATCTTTCTGCGCCTATCCATAAATTCTTCAAAAGGTAAGGTATAACTTCCAATTTCTGGTTGTAATAATAACATTATAATGATTTGAGCACATGCAAGTTTGTTCAAATATAAGTGATGATCCTTGCCACCATACATAGAACTTTAAACTGAAATCAAAGTCTAATTTTTCAAGGTAATTAAAATTCATTGGGGTTTCTGTTTTATAATTTGTTGTGGTATTGCTTTGTTTTCACTTAAAATCTATTGACTTTGGTCTGGTTTCCTTTGCTTATATAGAGTTATGAGCCATTATATTGGTTTTCATTTTTCTGGATAATTAATTATTTTCTTTTATCCACCAATGTCGATAGCTATTATGGGCAGTTTGGAAGTTGATTTCAATAATTTTTGACTTCCATGATTCTTTGATTTTGAAGACCAACACATGCTCTACATAGGTGATTTGTGGAGATTCTCTCTCTCTCTCTCAAGATTCATATTTAATGGGTTCAATAACTTTTTCATGGTGAGCACCCAAACTTAGATTTTTAGATATATTTTTCATGTGAATGAGTTGTTATTTCGTGCTTTTATTGATATATTAATACGAGATTTTGGGGTTTTTAGTACCATTGTACACAAAGAGGTTTTCATTTGAACTTTTCTCACCTTTGTTTTTTCCCTCCAATATTTAATGTACATTTGTAATCTCATCATACACCACTAGTTGAGCCCACGTGTGTTTGGATTTTATTTTAGGCTGAAGATTCATAATGGAATGATTCCCACTCACTCCCACCCTCTATCTCAATTTTGGTTTTTTTAATTGGTACAAATGTATTCAATTTCCATGGAATTCGAAACTTTACCAATGGAAGCAATTTAAAGTTGAGGCATGAGTTATAGATATAAAAGGTAAATTCATGACTTAATTTGTCTTATACTTATAGAAGTTGAGTTGGAGTTTTTATTTACTAAGATTTCAAATTCATGATTAATGATTAATTTCAAGTTTTTATTCAAATTCAAATTCATGACTTAATTTCAAGTTTTTATTTACTTATAGAAGTTGTGTTAATGATTAATATTTTAAATTTTTTTTTCCGATTAATTGGTTTTGAATTTCATAACTTAATTATTTGGATTTGTAATATCATCCAGTTCAATTTTTGATTAATCTCATTAACAAAAGTCTTCTTATTTACATAGAATCCTCTAATTGGTTGTTTAGAATTTCATCATTATTAGTTGGTTTAACAGAGAA